TGTACAAGTTTACCTTTCATTTATTATTATGTTGATTTTGTTTATATGAGATATAATATATATTAAATAAGGATAAAGTTAGAAAGCTGTTGAATTTTAAATAAAAGTTAATAAAGTTTAAAATTTTTTTCTATCTGACATATGTTAAAAATAACTTATAAATAAGACCACAAGAGTAAAAGATTTTTGCTTTATATATATACACGCTATCATTATTTAGAAAAGAAAAGAAAGTACCAAACACCTTTTGCCGCATATGGCACAGAAACTTGGCATTCGATCACTTTAATGTTGTTCTATATAACTCGTCAACTATTTTATTATTACTACTTCGGCACTGCGGAATAATGTCTTAAGGTTGACTGGCATATAATAGAACCAAACGAAAAGGAAAAAGAAACAAGTGGCTCGTTAATAAATGAGATTAATTATATGTCAAATTGATGGAATCTCAATGTTGCGAAATTTTTTTTTTTAAAAAAAATCATGTCTCCTTGAATTCAGATCAATTTACAGTAATTGATAATGTTTAATTTCTTAACTAAGAACAATGTTTTCTCCCTAATCATAAGTTGGAAGAAGAATTTTTCCAGATTCTAAAACATGATTAATTAGAAATATAAATATATATATAAAAAATTGTGTGTAAATATATAGGTGTGTATCTATTGTCCTTTACTAACAAATCAGAAGCTACCGATTCATGACACTCATTGCTGCAGTGATATCTAAACCATTCAAAATCAATTTTAATGGTTTAGATTTAAAATTTTTAACTGGTAATTTTTAAATAAAAATTTATTTTTTAAAAAAGCTTATAGATAAGAGATTGCATTTATTTTGGATTATTTACTTATTAAAAAATATTTTTTGAAAAAAAAATATAAAATATAAAATCTTGACCATCCATATTAAATCTGAATGATTGATATTTGATGAGTATCATAATACTTATTGTTGCAGTGAACACTAAAACTAATTCTAAAGCTACCCTCGTTACAACTTACAAATAAAGATGGAAAAGAATCTCATCGTCATCATTAACAGCCCTGTGATTTCTTCAACGTATTCTCCGAAAACCCAACGACTGAGTGAAGAAAATTATATTACTTACAAGGCTGTGCAGAAATCATCGTCATCAATATCATCTGCAAATATGCTAGTTTCTACTGAATTATCTCTTTCTTCTACCTTCGCACCCTCCATTGCCAAAACCAGAACCACCAAACATATCCATCAATATTTTTGCATCAGAAATACTAATACCAGGAAGACAAAACCATCAAACCCTTCTTACCGCTATTCCGACACAGAGAAAGGCAAAACCAATCATAAGAGTAACATCAACCAGTATTATTCTCCAAGTGGCTGCTCTACCACTTTGAAGCTTTACGATGACCCATGGAAGATCAAGAAATTAAAGTTCTGACAGCAGCGATCTCGAGAAGCTGAATAGGTTACTGTTGAGCTCAGGCGATTCCATGGAGGACCTGCTAGATTCAGTAGTAATGCTTAGAAATAATAATACGCATTATCATCACCATAATGATAATGATGATGATGGAGGGAAGGGAATTGAGGGTGTGGGATGTAGAAACCAAGTCTATGTACCATCTGATTCTGAAGAGATGGGCTTCGCTCAAGAACTACGTCCTGATAAGGCGATTGGAATCAGGTTTTTGTGAAGAGAGGGCCTTTGAAGAAAGGAGATGAGATTGCTTTTCAATGGGATCCCTACAGCTTGTGCTTTAATTTCTCCGTTCTCAAGCAAGTTACTATAAAGTAAATATGTGTATATGCTTTTATTATGTCGTCTCAAATTCAATTTGTCAATATATTATACTACTTTTGATCCTAATTAATATAAGAACTAGTTGACTAATTTGAGTAGATTAAGAAAATTAGTTAACTTAACTATTTGTAACAAATATGTGTTATCTTTCTTAAAATATCTTTGTTAATCAAGTGTATTAGCTAAAACTACCATTATTGTAAGGACTACTTTAAAAAATAAATAAATAAATATGACAGACAAAGTAAATTGAAGTCTTAATTATATTTAGGATCAAAATAAAAGTCAAACTAGCTTTTATATTAAGAACCAGATATAGTACTCACTAATTCTGCAGGTTGGTATGTGTAAGTTGTTGTCACTTGAGAAAATGACTTAAGGTTAAAATTCCAGTCTTTATGTGTATGAAGCAATCGAGTTGGAAGGGGTCAATCCATCATTCTTAGTAATTACTCTGAAGGAGACAAACGATCATGCAAAGCAATTGAATCAACTATATGCATGCATGCAATGATAAGTTCCGGTATAGAAAATAATAATAATAAGAGCTTAGAAATAGTGAGCATTACATTCCTTTCAAGAGTGAGTCAATCCATGACTTAAATCATTCTTAGTAATATTCACTATTTCTAGGGCTTAAATTATAATTGTCGCCTTATTTGCTATGTTCCTTATATATTTATATATATATATATATATATATATAAATAAAACTCTCTTATATACCCCCAAAGTTGCGGTTAGGATTAGTTCATAGACTTGGATTTTACCCTTGCAATAATGTAAGGCACAAGGAGACTCCATCACATGAAGGACATTCATTCACTTTAAAAATTGTTAATGTTTTATGTATTTAAATTAAATGGCTATTATATGCGGCTGATATGTAGAGAGCACTCCGTCAAATGAGTTTGCTTCGAAAAATGTAATGGTCTGAAATTATGTTTCTACTTAAATCTCATTGTATTTATTCATTCAAGCGAGAAATTATATTATTAAGAGCTAATAAACTATAATGATAATGTTATATTGCAATTGATATGAACTTGAACAGAATATATTTATGGTTAAAAAATAAAAATAGTCTAAATCAATTTAATATGTAAGAGGGAGAAAAATAGAAATTGCATGTGGAACCCATCGGAAATCTTTGCCAAACAGTTCAAATGAACTTAGCATGTAATATAAGAGGAAGGAAAAAATGGGGGAAAAGAACAAAACAAATATGAACAAATATGGGTCTCATAATCTTTGTCATTATAGGAAAAATGAAATATGACCCATTATCTGAGGGCATTATTCATCCACCGCCTCTGCACACACATTAGTTGAATTAGGCCTAGCCATTTGAAATTCAAAAGATATACAGATAAAGATGAAGTTGGGGGGGGGGGGAATGGAAATTAAAGATGAGAATCTTACATTTCTTGATGATTACCATAAAACAAACTGGGGGGATAAGTTTGGATGCTGAAGCAACAAGAAGTGGACATAAACAGAACTATCTGCTGGGGACACAAGCATATGATGCTCATTACTCTCACTCCTTATTTTGGTAGGTGAGAGAGAGAGAGAGAAGGGATCTTGTTCCGTCTTGTTTGTCAAAGTGATATTCTTATTCTGTTACTTTTCTTTTACTTTCGTCAATTCCTGTCGCAAAGAGTCACTTCAGCATTTCATAAGGTATCACTAAAGAGTATATCCTTTCATTATCAAGAAAAGGGGAACGAAGCATCTTTTGCCACATGGCAAACACACGTGGGATTCTCTGTATCTTTGATATTATATATGCATATATAACTCCTCAACTACTCTAGAGTTTCTCTAAGAAAGACTCAACATCTATCGGGGTTTACTAATATTAATCTAACCCAGAAGAAATTAAAGAGGTTGACTATATTAAACAGCTGGACAATGAATCTAATTAAGAGAACTTGAGGGTTGCACAGGGAAAAAAAAAGTGTATATACCCAGTCTTAAGTCAAATTGTCCTTTTAGTCCTTAACATCAGCAGATTTCTTGGATTTATACAAAAATATCCATTAAGAGCTAGCCCCTTTTCACTTTGTAACTTTTTCTCTTTCGTAAGAATGCATATGTTTTCTCCTAACTGCAGGTTGGAAGAAGAATTCCCAAGAGCTTCTAATCAACAAAGTTAATTTAGGAGACTCCCATTACTGAAACTAGACTTAGTAGTAACATATTGAATTCCAGATAGTTATAAAAAGTCAGTACACTTTGACATTTCTTGGATTTTTTTTTTGGGGGGGGGGACACTGTTTGTATTCTATTTTTTCAAATATAAGGCATTTTTTGGAAAGTCCTATTGAAATTTTCGGCAGAAAGACATTAATTTACCTTTAAGACTTGGTAAAATGTTTTACGTGTTATTGAGAGATATGAAATTAAAGTTTTGGTTAGGAATTTTAATTGAACATAAGGTGCTTATTATAACTTTGTAATACTCCTCCGGTCCTTAATATAGGCTCCAATTGGTGAGTTGGTTTTGATCCTAAATATAAGACTCATTTATCATATTTATCAATTTTCTCTAAATTATCTCTATAGATACTCCTTTAACCATAATCAAGTAGAAAAGGAAAATGAGGTATTAAGAAAGATGATTATGGTATTTTAGGAAAAATGTTTCACATTTTTTATAAGTAACTAACTTACCTAACTTCCTTAATCTAATCAAATTAGTTAAATGGGTCTTATATTAAGGATTGGAGGAGTAGTAACGAACACTACAAGTGCAAAGAGTTGTAAATTAAAAAGTCAAATTTTGTGATTTGAGTAGGTGAAACCTCATTCCCTAACACTCCCATTGTTTGGATCAACTATATTTTTTATCATTTAATTTTGCAATTTATATTCTTCATCAGTTTCTCATCTCATCTCATATTAACTATAAATTATTTTGGGACTGAAATTAACTAACTAATGTCCCATATATAGGTTGGACACCTGAAACATTACTACGGATTATTCTATTGCTTGATGGCCATGTATACTTACAAGATATTCACGTAGAGATATTCCGTTATGATATTGGCCTGGCAACTGAAGGCATTTACACACACACACACACACACATAACTGTGTTACATCATATACAAAGTGCGTTTATATATGTTGCCCTACACCAATTTATCAAAAGCTACATTCCCTCTATATATCTACCATCTACCTGCTGCTACGAATTAGGATGGATAAGAGTGATCCTTGTGATTTCTTCAACGTATTCCCCGAAAATTATGTTTCTAAGAGCTTGCAAGAATCATCATCATCATCATCTGCAAATATACTAGTTTCTACTGAATTATCCCTTTCTTCTACCTACTCATCAGTAACCTCCTTCACCAAAACCAGAACGTCTCAAGATTTTTCCATCTGCAGAAATACTAATGCCAGGAAGACAAAACCACCAAAACCTTCTTACAATTATTCCAATTCATCAGAGAAAGGAAAAACCAATCATGAGAGTGACTATATCAGCCAATATTCTCCAAGCGGTTGCTCTACCACTTTGAAGCTGTACGATGACCCATGGGAGATCAAGAAAGTCCTGACAGCCAGCGATCTGGGGAAGCTGAATAGGCTACTGTTGAGTTCAGATTCCATGGCGGGCCTGGTAAACAATAATAATAATCTTCATCATCATCATAATAATGATGAGGAGGAGTTACGCATAAAGGGAAGGGCAGTGAAAGTGTGGGATGTGGAAACCAAGTCCATGCACCAGCTGATTCTGAAGCAATGGGCTTCCTTCAAGAACTATGTTCTGATTGGAAACTGGAATCAAGATTTTGTGAAGAGGAGGAATTTGAAGAAAGGAGATGAGATCGGTCTCCAATGGGATCCCTACAACTTCTGCTTTAATTTCTCCGTTCTCAGGCGATCATCAATTACGGGATAACAATTTTGAATAATGAAACTGTGAATAAGAACAATGCCTGGACGCGAAACAAATGATGCAAGTAAATCAACTGCTGGGCTGGGCACAGTTTCTTATATGATTCAACTCTGATTTTTAGTGATTCTTCTTTCTTTCTCATTCGTATATTTATATAATGGAACAATATAATGGTTATATAAAGAAAATGAATTAGTATCTTTAATTTTCCAATATATATGCTAAGATTTCAGTATCATCTTCTCATGGTTTAATTATAGAGATTTTAGTATACATATGTACAAGCAGTTAGATATCTGCGTTGGATTCAAGGTTATTTTCACTGTTCTCAATTTTAAGGCATTGAAGCGGACAAATATATCTATCAATTTTCTCAAACCACAACTTGTGTATATGTATATATATAGTGCATAAAATGAGATGAAGAATAAATATACAACTGAAAGCACCATAAATCAGTGCTTTAAGAATTAATTTAAGATGTAGTGTTCAGTAATCTCTTCTTTTTATAAATGCTCTACCAAACCCAACAGAATTAGCTTATAATTTCTTCCTACGTATACTTGATTCTCCATATTTTCCAAGGTTAGATTTCAGGTTTTATGGATGGTTGAATGGCTATTTGAGTTTGTTTGTTGGTGTTGAGATTCATGGATATTTTTGTGGGAGCACACGAATTTCTGTCAACCACGGGTGAAAGTGAAATAGAGTTTTTGGTCAGAGGAAGTTTTAGCCTTATAAAATTAAGAAAACATATACACTAAGTCCTTTAATTTTATATAAGATTTTAATTTCGTTCCTTAATGTTAAAAAATATATCTTTGATCCTTTAGCTCTAAGATTGTAAGGCTTAAATGATGTTTTTTTTAGGGTTAAGGTGCAATTTTAACAACAAATTTTTCTATTAAGAGCATCTAGCACCATTAAGTTTTGAAGGGTGCAAAATTATACACAATCTTTATAAAACAGGGCAATTTTACCACTCCGTTACCTGTGTTAAATGTCCGTCACCTTTTAGTTCGGTGGGTCCCATATTTGTATACATTTCCTCTGCTTTTCCCTTCCCTTTTCCTTTGTCCCACCCTTCTCTCTCTCTAACTTTCTCTCTCTCTCTTTTTCTTCCCTCACTTGACATACTTATTCTTTTTATTTTCCATCTTTCTCTCTCCTGTCTCTGCCTCATTTAAACTCTAGTCTCCTTCCCAACTTTCTTATCAAATAACAACAGGTGCCAAGCAGTCAAAACAAATCTCAACCATAAACAATTTTTAACGGCCTTCCTCACACCAAATACAAAACAGAGGACTCTCTTTTACAGAAGGAAATTTCTTTCAATAAAGAACACAATTTAGGACCTTTTCAACTCACTTGGCACGTCCTTTGCAACTCGGAGCTTGATGAATGAAGCTAAATAATTCAAGAATTATGGCAGTCCAAGCAGATTAATTCCAAACAATTGGAGGCCTAACCATCTTTCTAAAAACTATCCTTTGATCATTCCTTCCAACTGCATCAACCAAGCTGATTACCTTGACTTTTCCCCCTCGTCTCGTCAAACAAGCTCAACAGAATGTGGCCTACCACCTTCCAACTTGTCAAACCACATAGCATCTTGTTTCCTTGTGTTGTCTCCTTTGTTCGCAAAGTCAATCGCCTCCAGTGTCAATGCCTCTATCTCCTTCTCAGATCGATCAAATACAATAGTGCACACTCTCCCCCCTTAAGCTTCTCGTGGAGAATAGTCATTTGGTTCTTGAATTCTAAGTTGCTGTTGCTAGAGAAAGAGGAGACAAACTTGAAAAGGGGAGAGAGATAGAGAATTGAGTCTGATGTGTTGGGGGGGAGGAATTGATGTAAAGAGAAGGAGGAGGAGAGATGAAATTTAAGAGGGTCAAGTGTAATGTTTTTAGCGAAAGGATTATACTGAGCTAGACACATAGTTGGACCCACCTCAGAAAAAGAAACGGCTATCTAGACCTGTTAACAGAATTGATGGAATTTTTCCGTATTTTAAAGTTTGTGTATAATTTTGCACCCTTCAAAACTTAATGGTGCCAGGTGCTCTTAGCAAAAAACATTATTATTAAAATTGCACCTTAACCCTTTTTTGTAACGATTATGGTTGTTTTGAAAATTAAACTTAATATGTTTGCATTTGAGAATGTTTTATTGACATTAAAAATCTCAATGTCATCATTTTTCTGTCAACAATTTTAGAGTTAAATGATTAATTAAAAATATTTTTTAAAGTAAAAAAATCAACTTAAAACTATGTACAAAGTTAAAAGATTAAATGTATACTTTAGTCTAAGGTTAAAACAGTAGGCTTTTCTATGGGAAAATATAAAAACGAGCTTCTTGTTTGTTTGACGGGAAGGAGATAACAGCGGAGGAAGTTCTTGCTTTTGTAAAGGCCTGTACTAAGTGGCTGACTGTTTCTAGCTCCAAACGCAGGAGGTATGGGGTTGGAGAGGGAAGGTGGGTTCCACCTGATAGAGGATACATGAAAATGAACGTTGATGGTGCGTTCTCACATGCATATGAGGAACACGCTTGTGGAAGTTTAATGCGTAGTTGGGATGGTAGTGTTCTCGGAGGCTTCCTCTGTAATCTGGGAAAGGGAGACAGTTTTGGAGCTGAAGCAGGGGCTGTTCTTTGGGGCCTGAAGTATGCATGGGATTCAGGTAACCGCCACATGATCATGGAGTCAGATTGCTCGGAAGTAGTGGAGCTTGTGCTGAATCGTGCAGAGGTTGAAGGACTACATGAAGCTTTGTTTGGAGAAATCCATAGTTTATTGGAACGAGAGTGGTCTGCTCAGATTCAAAGGGGCAGACGGGAGACTAACGTTGTAGCAGATCTCCTAGCGAAGGAAGCACTCAGTGTATCACCTGGAGTTCATTGTTTTTCTTATACCCTGCCGGCTATCTCAGAATGCGTCACTCTTGATGCCATGCTGCACTATCATACTTAGGAGGTGTTTGGATGGAAACCAAACATTGATTTCAGAAGTGTTTTTACAATTTACGAAGTAAATATGTGAAAGAGTTTGCTTTGTTTTGCGGAAAAGTGTTTTTGAGAAACACTTTTAAAGGTTGCCAAACACTTCTGGGCAGTTTTGAGCTTTGTTTTTTTACCCAAAAAAAAAGTAACTTTCCAAAAGGGGTCAAAATAATAATTACGGTAAAAATGTCAAAAGATATGAGGCGGATGTATGACGTGGAAAGTAGGATATGAGGCGGATGCATGATTCCAGGAATTTTGGGGGTTAAATACACAATTAATAAAAATTAATTGGGCCTGCATAAAAATCCAAACTTTTCACGTAACCCTATAAATTTAACACCAAATTGGTCTTCTTTCATGCAGGCCCAGAACTCTTCCCCTCTCTTGATTTTACTCCATGGGAGACATTTTTGTTCGGGAACTAAAACAAACAAAACGAAACTGAAATAAGACCAATATACCAAGCCCAATAGCCCACAAACATAATCTTAATTAAGAAAGACCCAAAACAATAACGCCCAGCATCGGGGGAGAAATGAATAAAAATGATGAGCCTATTAATATATTTTCTGAATTCTTTATGTGAGGACTAATTTAAAGTAATTTAATTCTAAATATAAAATATTAATAATTTTTTTATTCACATTTATCATTTTTTTTCAAATTAATATACCTAACTTATAAATTAAGACATAATTTAATGTGATATTGGCATATCTTATGAAGATTATGCTGCATTTGTTATAATTAATTAATTTATCTAAATTTCCTAACTTATTCAAATTAGTTAAGCAACTCTTATATCAAAGGCTAAAGTATACTTTTAATCCCTTAACTTTACACAAGGTTTTATTTTTATCCTTAACTTCAAAAAGTAAACTTTTAGTTCTTTAACTCTAAACCTGTTAATAAAAAATGATGATATTGAGCTTTTGAATGTTGATAAAAAATTACTAAATGCTAACATATTAAGTTTAATATTCAAAACAACCATAATTGTTACAAAAAATTATCATTCTAAGCTAACAATTTTGGGATTAAAGGATTAAAAGTATACTTTTTAAAGTCAAATGATCAAATTGAAATATTAGATAAAGTTAAAAGACCAAATGTATATTTTAGCCTATATTAAATACCAAATGGAGCATATCTCATGAAGTTCAGTCTCCCAGTGTAATTTTCGTGAAAAATTCAAGAAGAAATACATTTTCCCCCACAAAATTTTCAACCTTTTCTCAAAATTTCAGCGAAGGAAAAAAAAAATGTTTTCATAAAATACTGTGTGTAAAGTAGTTTTATACCTCTTGACTAAACTTGGGCAGAAATACTTCTTCCCCCACAAAAAGTATACTTTAGCCCATATTAAATGCCAAATGGAGCATATCTCATGAATTGCGGCCGCGACCTCCTTTCCTCCGTCCTTTTCGAATCGAAGGCGACGATATATACAATGAGATTATTTTGCTTATTTGTCCAATATGATTGAATATATTTTCATGTTCTCATTCACTTACCAGCGTTTTTTTCTTAATCATTAGCGGCTCACATTCACCGTCGATTCGTGCAATTTTGTTCCATTTTCATCATTTTTTTTAATCATCCATGTATACTTGATTTGTCCATAGATTCATAAGCATAATCGACCAATTGAATATATTTCTTTTAAATATTACTAATCCGTATTAAACATGTATAATTCTAAAGTCAAAGGCATACATAATGGAGAGTCAAAGAAATGACAGAGATACTATCTCTGGTGTTTAATATAAAAGCTAGTTGACTAATTTGAGTAGAAACTAGTTAAGTTAGTTATTTGTAATAAGTAAGCATTATCTTTTTTAAAATATCCTTATTGATATAGTATATTGGTTACAACTATCATTATTATAAGAACTATCTTGGAAAACGATGAATAAATATGAGAGACAAAGTGAATTGAGATCTTATATTTATGATTAAAATAAAAGTCAAACAAACTCTTATATTAAAAACCAGAG